TAATGAATGGTGTAAAAATTATAACAAAGATAGGTCTTACGTGGTTAAAATTGGGGATGAAACTAGTCAGAAGGTTACGGTCAAAGAAGGCACGGCACAGGGCTCAGTACTTGGTCCTCTCCACTACATAACCTACGTTAATGATGCGATTAATGTGATAAGCAATTGTGAGATATACCAGTTCGCAGATGACACATGTCTTGTCCCTGCAAACAAAGACATAAACACGGCTTTAACTAACATTCAGACTGACTTTACATCACTCTCTAAATGGTCACATGACGTAGGACTTACGTTAAATGCAGAAAAAACTAAACTAATGTACGTAAGCTCTAGTCAAAACCGTAGCAACATGATTCCAAAAGTTGTAGCGCACAGTCATAAATGTCTCCATAATAACGATTATCAACATTGTAATTGCGAAATAATAGAAGTTGTAAGTAAACATAAATATCTAGGATTGCTCATTGATGACAGATTTAAATGGACCGATCATATTAACTTAGTATGTAACAAACTACGTGCTATGTTGGCCAAATTTAGCATAATAAAACAAAAAATTCCATACTCCACTATCTTAAGCTTATACAAAGCTCTCGGAGAGACAACTATATATTACGGCCTCAGTAGTTATGGAAGAACGTTTAAATCACATCTTGATCATATATATGATTTACAGTTACGTATTATTAAAACGATAGTTCCCATAAAACTTAGGTTTAAATGTGACAATACTAACGAATTATTTCATAAAACGAACATTCTACCAATTCATGACAAGGTCAAGTACATACTACTTAAAGAAAATTTGTTTAATAATGCGTATCTAAATATTGTTCAACATAAAAAACATACACGTAGCGCCTCTAAAATTAAGTGCACCATACCAGGATACAATAATCTTTATGGCAAACAAATGCTAAAATATCAAGTACCTAAATTGACGAATGATCTACCAGATAGTTTAAAAAGAGAATTGAAGGAATGTAATATAAAATACAAATTAAAAAAATATTTTTTAAATAAACTCAAATAAAGAATCTAAAATATAAATAACAATAATAAATTGAAAAAAATATTGTAAGAATATGAACCTAAGTGTTTACATTGTTTGTCTACATTATACCTGCTTGTTATATTTTTTAATTACATGTTAAAACTGAACAATGGATAAAGTGATAACGCACGACAAAAGTGCAATACTGAAATTGTGTATGTATATTAAAAAAAATAATAATAAGGTTACATTTACCTTGTATATGTTACTTATTTGTTAGATTATGCACTTTATATTGTTTTTATATATTTAGTTAATTTTATTACTCTATTTTGTCATACCTGTATCATTATATTATAAGTTTGATGTCTTTTTTTGTTTACTGTTTAATACACTAAGTACAAAATATAAATGTATTGAGATGTCAATGTAATTGTGTGTTAACGACGATGAATTCCAGTGTACGGAAAAACCAATACTGGTTTATGAGACACTGAAAACTTAGATATAAATGTAAAAATACCAACATAATTGTAATAAATAAATAAATAAAAAATAATGTAAATTAAAACTTGTTCAATTTAAAGATTAAATGTTTGAAATAAATCAATTTGAATGATAATAACAATTCAATTGAAAACATTAGAATTCGCTCGAAAATTACAGTTTCCAATAGCAGAGGCGGGTTTGAAACATATAAAAGTAATTAAGGCACCGATGAAAGAATTTTTGTTCTAGTAGAATAGTATTTAAATAGAAAATGCAATAGCAACCTCAATAATAACGTTTTAATAATAGAATTTTTATTGTACCTAGCCTGAGAATTATTGTGAGGTTTTAACGTTTAAAAGACACTAAGAAGATACAAATGGCGGTTGTTGAGTTGATTAAGAATTATAGATATTCCAATGTAAGGTTGGATGACTAAATCATTGTTGTTGTACATAGCACAACTCATGAATTAAGCGAATAGTAGACGTAGATTTATATTTGGGTACAATTAGTATATTACAAAAGAGTAAAATACGTCTTAAATTCGATTTAATAAATACTTTTTATGCATGATACACACTACAAGCTTTAACAAAAGAATAACTAACTATACATAAAACAGGTGTGCATTTTCGGATGTACTACAAGTTATTTATTATTATGGTTGCTGCAAAGTAACTAAAACGTAGGTAGTATGAAGATTAAAATGATAAACGACTGGTAGTAAATCCGAAAAACTAATATTTCGTATTTACTTCGTAATTTTAAGTCTGAACTTAATTGATTCTTTAACCTTTTTGTATCTCTCCTTACTTCGAGCATTTATATAACATTATAAAATAATATAATATTTATATTAAACTAACACGATTCATTTCGTTAATTAATGAATTGTAAGCGACTCTTATAGTGAAATATAAATATTTCTGCTGTAATCGTCATAGACTGTTTGATAAAATGTCAAGTCATATTAAAACTAACAAGTCAAGAAACTCAATGCATGAGATTTCTTGGGAAAATGTTAAACAACCCCTGCCGGTTACATAAAAGGCAGTTTCAAAGGCTTTCATATGTTGTGGACGTGTTTTTCCCCATTTCTCCGGTCTTATATTCCAGTATTTACTTTCTACTTGACCTAAAAATACAATACGCCCTGTCAAAGCCACGTTCCGTGTTCATTGAATTGAACTTTAATTTTTCGTATTCCGTATTTGAATGCAAAAAAAATATTTACAAACAATACAACAATGTACAATGCGAAATAATATTGTGATATTTTCGTAAGGTTGAAATTATTACTAGGTCTTAAAATTTATTAACTATAAAAGTATTATTTCATATTTTATCACTATATTTTTTTCCTCTTAATTTATATATTATACCAATTTTTATCCATTCATATTAATTTGGATTCAAATTCTATATGAAATGCCATTGTTTAATACACTATAGCAGTAAATATAATGTAAAATTTATTTGTAAATATATTCAATACTATTATAACAAAAATTTGCATTTGTATTACTTTCCAGAGGTTCAAAACAAAATGTCATATTCGTTCATACTAATATTAGTATTGGATATTAAGAACAAAATTAAATTATGTCTTGGTTTCTAATTTAAATTAGTTTTACTAAAATATTCTTATTTGTTATTTCCCTCAAATTTAAAAAGCGCTCCTAATTGCTGATGTTTCAATAATTAATACTTAGTATAAAAAAGTTTTAATGATCCGATTTCAAATATAAGGTGTGTTTTCGGATGTATGCAATTTTTTTATTTTTTTAAACTATGTACTCCCGACGTTATGGTTCCTTTGCAAGCAAGCCTGATCACGGACAGATGAGATGAAAAAATAGTTTTAATAAAATGAATACTCACGAAAGGATTATTACAATTCAAAAAGATAAATTTACTAAGATTGCATTTAAGCAATTGGGCAATTTTAGCATATTATGTAGAAATCAAACGATAAAGGAATACTCCAACAAAACTGCCTTTTGAGTCAGAATGACTCTATTCAATAAATGAGAATAAAAGGGGAAGCAAATAAATCCACCATTCACATCTGAACAATGATTTGGAACAGTTACGAATCTTAATTACGTAACATTTGTTAGTCAGTTGGCAATTTCATCAGTAATTTTGTAACCGAGTACGGTTTAATTTTAACTTGATTAGAAGTTAAGACTTTTAAATTATATTTACTCTTCTTTTGTATAAATACGTTTATACAAGTTTGTTTAACTATCACGAACCATATATTTTTGAATGAGTCTACATGTCTAGACTTATGTATTTTTTTCAACTAACCACTCCGTTTGAAAGGTAGGTAAGGTGAAAATATTAATTGAAATAAAGCGATGTTTAATTTGGAATGACATACTCGTTATTTGTGTGTAGGTTAAATAAGTGAAAATTATTAACATTACTTTAGAATTGCAAACACTTATGTTACAGAGATACATAAATAGGTGTATGTCACTCAACAATACCCTGAAGTCTCTACTAATCTAATGAAAATATATAAAAAACTAGTTTTTGCCCGCGACTTCGTCCGTGTTAATTTCGTCATTAGTAATATACATATGTATAGCTGACCGGGCGAACTTTATTCCGTCTTAAATAACCAGGTATTGGTATTTATTAAAAATTTCCTCTTTCAATCGCACAAAATGATTGACATATTAGTTAGTTGTCAAATCTAATGTCAAAAAAACAGTTGTACGGGAAATAGAAAAAGGCTGTTTTTAGGGTTTTCCCGGAAATGAATCATTTTTTTTTCAGCTTTTAAACCTTCCCTGAACCTTCACAAACTTTTCAAGACTAAGATAAGATAAATCCGTTCAACCGTTCTCGAGTTTTAGTGAGACTAAGGAACAGCAATTCATTTTTATATATAAAGATAGAAGATGTACATTGTTGGTGCAAGCTTGTTTAATTTTATAAATACTGATTTTTTTTATGTAGATACTGTTATTATTATAAAAGCCATTGATATATATAATGACTATGATTAATGTAATTTAAATGAGATGAGTTTTTAATACTCAACATATTTGATAAAGAATTCTTTTGTATAATTTTACTTTTAATCTATGTGGTTCTGACCTTGAAGTAAAACTTATAATATTTTACTTAAAAATGTCTATTATGAAAAGGATAAAATGAGCAATTTCTACGAACTTTTATTTATTTAAAGATCTTTGTTGAAAACTTGTAGAAAAAAAAATCATAGCAATACCTAATGGTGAAACAAAAGATCAATATACCTATCGTATAATAGTAATGTGTTTAAGACTGCTTTAATTAAGTTTAATATATGGAAACATACATTTATTATAATATAAAATAAATAGTATGAAATGCTGAGCCGTAATTCAAAATGATGAATACAATATAATATGTTTGTGAGTGTTGTTAATAGAAAATTTGATTTATAATCAAAGAGTTTTCGTCGAAACGAAGAGGCTTCCGTTTTTTTATTTACCTATCAAATTCAGCAAACGAGATGTTCCCTAAAAAGTTCTGTGTTAAAGGTTTGTTACACGTCTTCAGTAATATTTTCATTTGGTCGTAACCAACTTTTCTTCTTGTAGACACTTCATTTTGTTACAAATTTTATTTCATAGGTTTCTTTAAGAAGTTTCGCAATGTTTTTTTTATATTACAGTTTTATAGTTTCTTACATAAAATAATCATTATCTAAAATATGTGATTCACTTTGGTGACAAAAATAACATCGGCTGTTAGCACACTTACTATCCATCAGCCAAATTCATGTCGGTAACCGATAAGTTGGGTTCCGATATTTTATCTAATAATATCATGAATTATTGGTCTGAAAAGTTATCGTTGTGTCAGTTTCTTAGACATGCATTCTAATGAGAAAGACAGTGACTAGTACTATCAGAATATATATATCAAAATAGTATGTTTATTTAAAATGTTAATAAAGAATTCCTTACCACCATCGTATTAATCATTGGAGCCCGAACTCTTAACTCCATCTTCTTGTAGTTAATAACATAAAGTGACCAGCGTCTAGTCATTTAAAAGAATATCCATTTGGAAAGCGTACTAAGGAAATGTGTGCTGTAATCATCGTAGTCTTTCTTTAGTTGAACAGAGAACTTTCTCACATACTAATTTCTTTCTTCCTCTTCGGTATAGCGGTGGATTGGAACAGGTTACTCGCCATTACGTTTCTCACGAGTCATAATTTGGATGTACTCAATGAAACTTTTGAAGGCCGGAATCTTATGTAGAAATGCAATTATTTTTCTTTTCATATTTTATTGTATATATATTTTATTTTATCTATTATTATGATACTACTATTTTGGGGGTAAATTAATGGGTCTGTATGATTAATGGTTCATTCCACTGTCGTACCTACATCAACCCGCTGTCTATGTCGAAGAAGCTTTGACTAATTATACTAGATTTGGTCTAAATCCTCTCAAGTTCCTTGCAGTAGTAATCCATGAGATACAAAAATATATTTTTATAGATTCATAATCTCGAATATTATAAAAGTTACACAATCGGATACCTTTTAGAATGCACTAATTATAAAAAAGTACAGGCTTCATATAATTGTTGTACTCATAAAATGATTGCTAAAATTATAAAAATTAAAATTTTTGACAAAAATACACTAAGATTAATGCCAATTGACGATGATGCAAAAGTACTAAAAGATTATTATTAAAGATCTTGAAAGGAAAAAGTTGTAAGCTGTTTTGGTGTATCGAAGATCGATTTATAATTTTTATATCATAAAATTTAACGAAAATCAAGATTCAGCCTTCAACCATCAATATATAATTATTAATCGATGTAGACATTCTATCTTGAAAAAATTGCTGTGATAGTGTATATTTGTTAGTGCTTAGGATAAACACAGATATATTATTTAATAACATAATAGAAATTTAATAATAGTTTAAAAAAATACATTTCACTGGACTGTCACTTCAACCGTTAGTAGCTGACTGAACCGCGAAAAAGGTATTCATACTATGAATACTCCTTGTGAAAAATTCGTTTTCGTTCAAAATTTTTTTTTAGACGGAACGTGACTGGAATTGAACTGTTTCTTATAATATGAATAAACAGCTTATTTTTTATTGATATCTCACAACTCCAACAATCGACCTTACATATAATTTTGATCCAGCCTGAACATATAAAAATGTACATGTACATATAAAAATGAATGTTTATACAATGATATATATTAACTGCTTAGGTTTATCTCCTGTTACTTTTATGACTTTTTTATTACAGAAGTATATTAACTCAAGTTGTACGACTTATATCGAAACATTTTCATTATTTAGTGTTTTTATTTCTATATACATATAATCAGTCGTGGATGTTTAAGTTTTCATTTTTCCATGATCTTAAAAAACATTTATCGCGAAAAAAAATGTATAATTGTAAAAAAAATATTCTAAAATCCGAAAACAAATATGTTATTTAAATGTAATTTATTTATTTTCTCCACTGAACTCATGTCTCGAAAATTTTAAGAAGACACAGCAAAGTTTTAGTTTTCGATTTGTTTTATTTTGTCCTCTTGTTATTTTTGTCATCTACTATTTCATACTTTTCATAATATTTGTCTCAATGGTTTTATGTCCTAAAACATATCTAACATACATGAGTATTTTATTATAATAAAAAATAATAACATTAAGTACTTTAAATCAAATGAAAACTTTTATTATTTACTAAGAAGACGTATAATGTGTAATTCCAATAACTTTATAGTGTTCTAACAGATGTGACGTTTAAATTAAATTGGCCACTTAGCTTTGTATCACTTACAAAATACTAATTTATTACTTTTTTTATTTACTTATTTTATCAATACACAATTATTCATGATAAGTTTTGCGCGCTGAGCAGTTTGGTTGTAAGATTCATAACTTCTCTTACGGTATATTATATTAATATTAATATTAATAGTATTTAATATTGTAATCAATATCCTAGTAGATAAACTTATCAGCAATGAGAAAAAATGGGGGTATCGGTTTAAGTTCAATAACAAATACACGGAATCCATTTTAGCCTTCGCTGACGATCTCGCAATACTGACACGTCACCCCAAACACTGTCAAGTACTATTGGATGAAGTGGATAAATTCTGTGAGTGGACGGATGGATTGAGGACAAAACCAAGTAAATGTCACTGTCTGTGTCTTGGTAGGCGGAATACAAGATACACCTCATACGATCCGGGACTATCGATAGGCGGTCAATGCGTTTCTACGGTTACGGAAAATGCACCATTCAAGTTTCTCGGTCGTAAGATTGATAATATAGGTCGTACTCCATCTTTAGAAGGAATAGTAGATAGCTTTTTAAATGATCTCAACAAGGTAGATAGCCAGCAGATCAGTAACGTAAAAAAAGCATGGATCTACGATAATTACTTAACTTCACGTTTGAATTGGCCTTTCCTCGTCTATGATTTTAGTAAAACCCTTTTATCTAAATTAGATGCAGGCGTCATAAAGATGTTGAAGTTGTGGCTCGGGCTCGCGCTAACGGCTGACTCATCGGCTTTATTCAGGGATCGTAATAGTTTTGGAATGAATCTAAAAAGACCATCGGAGCTCTACAAACACCTAAGAGTTTCCAAGAGACATATCCTGGGAAAATCCCATGATGACGTCGTTACATCACTCCCAAAAGACAATGATGCCCCAGAGCTAGAGTCACGACTTCAATTCCATAAACAATTTATGATCGGAGCGCAAAATAACAGAGTAGGGTTAGGATCAAGTAGGAAAGTCCAAGATACGGATATATTGAAGTCTTTTATTCGGCAAGACGAGAACGATAAATACAAGATCCATGCAATGAGTTTAGAAATGCAGAACGATTGGTTAGACATAGGAGATTTTTGCATTCCACTAGCACTAAAATGGCGCACCCTAATTCATGACTGGTCGCCAGCCTTGCTAAAATTTTATCTCAATGCGTTCCAGATGACTCTCCCAGATCAGAGTAATTTAGTAAGATGGGGTAAAGGTACCGAAAAAACTTGCTATATCTGCGGAAAGGCAGTTGGAACTGCCAAGCATTTGCTGGTGGGATGTAAGGTTCTCCTGGACAGCGGTCAATACTCGCGTCGTCACGATAGGGTTTTAGAGATCATACGTGAAGCGGTTAGTCTTTCGGTAGCCAGAGCGCAAAGGGAAATAACCACAAACGAGCGATCAATAGGTTTTGTGAGAGAGGGCACCAGGGCTATAAAATCAAACGTCAAGCCTTACTCTATCCTTAAAGCGGCTTCGGATTGGACTATCATGATGGATACGTATGAGAAACAATACAAAATCCCCGAGGATATTTGTGCGTCGGCCTCCAGACCAGACATATTTCTATATTCGCGTATTTTAAAGCGCGTTGTGATGATAGAGCTTACGGTGCCTTGGGAAACCAACATCCCCAAAGACCATGCCATCAAGGTCAATAAGTATTACGAGCTCACTAACGAACTAACTCGAAATAGGTTCGTCGTTGATTTGTACGCGGTAGAGGTGGGAGCGAGAGGTATAACAGCTAAATCTCTCTATAACCTACTAAAAGACTTGGGCCTGTCCAGAACTAACATTAATTCATTCTTAGAACGTACGTCGAAGGCAGCCCTAGTAGGTTCTTTTCAAATTTGGTTAGGTAGGGAGAGGAACTTGGACAGTGGAGGTGAGCGTATAACGCGCGTTAGTTAAGGGGCCCCTTAAACCTACACCTGGGTCGCAAGTCCCAGGCACTGTTGAAGCTCCTCTCCCTGCAACGCGATGGACCCGGCACCCGCACGGTGAATCCATCGAATGCTAAGAGGTTTCGTCTCATTCTCGTATAACTCAGTAACGCTTAATATATAATCTATTCTAATAATTTAATATAGTTCTATAATTTCAAAACAATACCTTCAGTATTATTTCATATATTTTTCATAATTCTTTTTGATTTACGACTTCTAACTACGTAATTTTGTTGCATTATACGCCCGCCATAATGTTTGTTTTGTTTTGTTGTTAGCTCTGCTTACAATTCGCGAGTGTTTGATTCTGGTGTTCTTCCGTTCTTTTATTAATTGTTAGATTTTGTTATCGTTATTTTGTTTTAATTCGTTATTGTTATAAGTTTGTTGTTATCTAATATTGTTTATATTAGATTACGATGAGTAATACTGAATAACCTGGTCCGAGTGGGATTGTATCTGTAGCGAAATTTAAATATACACAAAATTTAATTTAAATGAGTCCTGTCGTTTGGGAGGCGATGGATAAAGTTAATAAAGCGAATTATTTTACTACGAGGTAATTTCTCATATCATTTTTAAATTGGAGGTATTATTTTTGAGATCTACATTATTCCAAATGATCATAAGTATTATATGTAATTATAACCAAGAATTAGTAATTTGTCTTTAATATTTTATTATTAATCATCAATTTTAATTTTCATTAACATCAAAAATAATTGTTGCACATATTTCTAAAAATGTTTTGAGCATCTGCCTGACGTTGGTTGTTGTTACAAATTGATATAAATCGAAATCAATAATTCGTGATTGTTTTTAATATTCGTATAATATAATAATATCGAAAATATAATCCGATTTAAAGGCTCGATTGCTATAATACCACTAACTACAATTCAATTTATATATATAGTAATCGTAAAAATTTAGAACAATTATAAATTAAATAAAGTACGACATTAAAATCAAAAGAGTTAGTTTATATATAACAGAAAATTTATATTTCATATAATATTTTTTAACTAATATTTATAATTGATTGAGGATCCCTCGTTTCTCTTAACATATTCTGAGACAAAGATGCTCCATGAACTGTCTATTAACCTGGTACATAAAAAACGTCTAAGATACACATATTAATTGGTTTAATCGAACAACGCCTATATATTGTACACGTTAACGCTTGTGATAATCAATACGTAAATTATGTGTTCTTGATTTTTTTGTAGGAATTTCAATGTATTGTAAATATTTGAACCATTATTTAATAAGTAACAAAAAAATCATTTTTAAAGTTGCTTTTATAAAAAAATATGAAAAGAAATTGAAAGCAAGTATTTTATTACTAAAAATTTCAGTAACGGTTAAATTATAAACCAAGAACATGATTTCATGTAATAACAATTATAATAAAAAAATCTTTCCTTTACTCATTTCACTGCAATTTACATCATTTCACTGCAATTGTTTAATTTAGGTTTATTTAATGAAGTAAATGTTTCATTATAACAATTTTTTTTGTAGTTTTTTTTTTAATTCAAATAAATAATATTTGACTTATTCATTACAGTAAAATAAGATATGTAATAGTAAAAACATGGAAATGTATTAGAGAGGTACGGTGTTTCAATCGATAATGCCTAATAGCTTTTGCAAAATAATTTTTGTAACTAGTCCGTTGTACGCAAATTGATGCGAAAACGAGATAAGCCATGATCTCTCATTATAACAAAATACGTTTTTTACTTTTATCTTAAAAAATAATATTTGGTTTTAGGTTACTTTAGGAATTTGTAATATTAAACAATTCTATGAATTCTAAGATTGTTAAAATGTTTTATTTAAATATGAAGATTCTATTAAATGAAATATCAAAGGTAATGTTAATTAATACAAAATAAGTAGATAATCAGAGCACAAGTACAAAGATTTTCTACGAAATAAAAAGCACTAATGTATATGATTCCATGTATAAATTAATGATTACTCAAGAAGGAGCACTAAAAAGTTTACCAGAATTCCTTTTTTTATTCAAAAATCATTTATACAGTCATTTATATGCCTTTCGAAATACAGATTCTTCCAAATAACGAGATTTTCGCGAGTATTCATTTAAATGAAACTAATATTTTCGGATGCACAACGTGATTTTTTATTTTTTATTTTAAACTACATACTCCCGACGCAACTGTGATCACGGGCAGACGAGATGTGAGTTTCTCACAATCGCGTAGTAAATCCAAAAATATTGCTTTCTCCAAATTAACTTTTATGTCATGACGTGATTATGATATAAGAATATTTTCAGATTATTTTTATACGCCTCTTTTGACGTTCTATGTAGTAAAGCTCGCCATGTTACAACTGGCGCCATCCGTGCCGTACTAAGTATAATCCTTAGAATTAGTTTTTTGACTCATTATAATTAATTATAAGACTGAACCATTGTAATTTTGTAATGGCAACATTTAAGTATCACCTTGTATTCGAAAACTATAAATACCGGCTTCAGCCAATAGTAACAATATTTGTCGTTTTATATTATTTGTTATATTAGGTATATACTTAATACATGTTCAATAATTAAAACGTATGAAGATAAAAAAAATATTTTCGGAATATGCGATAGTAAATATATTATTCATATAGTTTTATACCGCTAAGTTATAAATTAGTAACAATTAATTATACATAGAGCCCTAAAAGTGTCTTTACAGATAACAAATCATCCACCTAGTAATTTTTATTAAAGACGATATGTTATCACAACGTCAAAATTTTGGTTTGGAATAAAAATAAATGCTTTTCTTCAATATGCTAGAACTTTTTTATTTCTGATTCTACCAAAATATATAAGTGAGAAGCGCTTCTCAAATTTGTTTCGATGCTTTGTAGTGTATAATACTTATATTTGAATGCAAATAAATTGACAAAATTAAAAATAACAAATAATAAATATTTCTATTGGGCGATCGTTGATCGTCGACTTATTACTTATGGAAAGCCTCGTTAGAACGAAGCGGCATGAGAATTGTTTAGAGCCGAATCCGATTGAAGGATTTCACTAAGTACAAACTAGCAGCCAATTCCTTGTGCTTGTTTTACATTGCTTGTGTTCTGTTTTAGGTGAGTTGGGTTGGAAGATTACCTGCTTACAGATGAAATAAAATACATATCAAAATGATCAAAACTCTCGGATCCTAAAATAGAGCACATTGTCGGTAGTCATAACATTTATATTCAAATCAAGGATACAGATTTGTTTTTTATTTGGTTTTTGTAATTGTTCATTTGACGTAGTTACAAATGAGTATGCTCTTTTTTTATAACTGAAGGAAATCTAAAGAAACAGATAACAAAGTGTTGAAAACCTTTCAGGGACAAGACCCTGAGTAACAAAGAAGACTACAAAGAATATTTTGGTTTTTAAATAAAAAAACAGTCAGAAATGTTTACAGATACGAAAATAAAGAAAGATCTCTTAAATCTTGATAAATTAACAGAGTTATGTCCTGGCTATACTACATATAAATCAACACAATATATGTATAAACTATATAGATTTGTATAACTATGCAAACGCATGAAACGCTGGGCACGTAGCGCATAACGTATTTGCGCAGTTGTTTCTCTTAGACAAACATTCATTCACTATTTTCATTTAGTTTTATGTTAATTGATCGTTAAAACGGTTGACTTTTTATACATAAAATTCGAGCTACATTTTTAGATTTGATTTTTAATGTTCCACGTTACTTCCAGCTATGTGTTACAAGATTACATTATTCACACTCTGTTTTATTTTATATAAAAGTATACATCTCCGGTTTTTTCAAAAATATTCCTCCTAATCCCTCGTCAGTCCCTTTTTCTTGTATATTTTAGTTTTCAAAAACATTGGTCATGTTTTCATAAGCATATAAACATTGTAAATACACCGTATGTATACAAAAGAAACACTATTTAAAAATATATTATGCCTCGATTTTGTCTTAGTTCTCTTAAATATTTATGTAGGTGTAAGAACTACATTTGTATTATTCTTATAGATAGGAATGAACAAAAGGAATATAAATAGTGAAAAATAACTGTCTGTGAATTTCAAAGAACAAGTAAGTTACGAATAAATGTATCTAAATATTTGTTAAAGAAACTTAGAACGTGTTATATACTTTGAAACATCGATATTTACAAAACAAATAATATTTCAGCTTGAGATTGAAAATAATCTTTTTCTCAAGCATTTAAATACTTTAAAAAAATGTTTTAAGAATTCTGAGTATTTTAAGGATTCAGTCTGAAAACTTGGACTGAAAGTTAAGGAACTCCTGTGACTGGTAAAAACACGCTTATTTTTCGTTAGTATTAGATATCATACGATTGGAAACTCCCCTTTCAGAGATTAAATAAAGTGTGAAATTTAAACGCTTTAACTTAACGTCTTACTCAAATTCTTTATACACATATGTGTATATAATATACCCTGTCGCCGTTTAGTTAACTAAATGCACTCGAGTCCTTCAACTGACAAGAGAAATCAGTTCATTTAAATTACAGCTTTTCAAACTCAAACCTCTAAATTTGGATGGTTTATTGATCCCAAAGCAAAGGCAAACACATTCAGTATCTTTGCAAAAGTATGGCAGTAGTTGGCGCCAACTAATTTCTTCCAAAGCACTGATAACACATTTGCACACGCGCCACCTCATGTCCTCCTTGATTTCGTTTTCGTATACAGACATGCCTGACTTCAAAGTCCCATTTGAGTAAAATGTGAAATTTAATACGTTAAAAAAAACTCAGATGTTTTTTGTTCCATGTAGCGATGTTAGCTTGGAGATAAACAACGTGATTGAATTGTAGGTGGACCAATAACGATTTTAAAATCCTCTTAGAAAATACCTTTCAGACCAGCAAGGCAGAATTTCTTACTTCAGGTTTATTTTATTTTATATAGTTTAT